CGATTATAGGGACGAAGACTAGGAAAACAAGCACACCCAAATATTTTGAGAGATGTGTAATCTAGTTTTTGATGAAACAGGCTGATACGTCTCCAACGTATCTATAATTTTTTATTGTTCCATGCTATTATATTATCCATCTTGGATGTTTTATATGCATTTATATACTATTTTATATGATTTTTGGGACTGACCTATTAACCTAGAGCCCAATGCTAGTTTCTGTTTTTTTTTCTTGTTTTTGAGTATCGCAGAAAAGGAATATCAAATGGAGTCCAATTGACCTGAAACTCAACGGATATTTTTTTTTGGAAAATATAAAAAATACCGGAACGAAGAGTTACCGGAGGGGAGTCCTGGGGCCACCACGAGGGTGGTGGACGCGCCCCCTAGGGCGCGCCCCCTGCCTCGTGGACTCCTTGTGGGGGCCCCTGACTTGTTCTCGGCGCCAACCCCTCCTATATATCCAAAAAACTCCAGAACAGAACCTAGATCAGGAGTTCCGCCGCCGCAAGCCTCTATTGCCACCAAAAACCAATCGGGACCCTGTTCCGGCACCCTGCCGGAGGGGAACCCATCACTGGTGGCCATCTTCATCATCCCGACGCTCTCCATGACGAGGAGGGAGTAGTTCACCCTCGGGGCTGATGGTATGTACCAGTAGCTATGTGTTTGATCTCTCTCTCTTGTGTTCTTGATATGGCACGATCCTGATGTATCGCGAGCTTTGATATTATAGTTGGATCTTATGATGCTTCTCCCCGTCTATCTTCTTGTAGTGGATTGACTTTTCCCTTTGAAGTTATCGAATTGAGTCTTGAAAGATTTGATTCGTTCATAAGTAGAGTATCATATATCCCATCGGGAGGAAGATCTGGTGATAATCATGGGCCCACGGTGGCTGGCGCATGTGATTTGCATAGGATGGCATATTGCCATTTGTCGGTGGTTAAGAGTCTTTTACTATGATTGTTATCGACTAGCATTGGAAAAGTTTTGTTATCGACTAGCATCAGTGGCGGAGCTATGTAGCTTCCTGGGGGGGGGGGGGCTGTGGCCCCCCCAATATTGAAACAACTTGTGAAGAAAAAATTATTATGAGGACTTAGATGAGAATTTTTTTTGCTTTTGGCCCCCCCAAGCACTCATATTTTACCTTTCGCCCCCCAGCTCATTTTGTCTAGCTCCGCCACTGACTAGCATTGACAAGCAGACTGAAACATCGCTGAGTAACATTGCAAGTTTTATTATTATTGGAAGCAAATTTGCTTGGGGTCCAAATCCAGAGCACGCAGCAGGCAGGCATCCCACATTGTTAATGCATGCGCGTGACGCGGTCTGCTCTTTCCCTAACAGTTAGTAGGGTCACAGCAGTCATCATGGACCCCACATCTCGTGGCGCTAGTTCAGATACTCTATACAGCCATAAAGGATCTGGGGTAGCACATTTTCACTCCAAAACAATGTTATAAGCGATTCAATCGAAATAGAGTACTAAGACATATGGATTTTAACTGGACACAGGTATGTAAACTTCTCTAGACATATGGATATTTTTAGTCACTCGCTCGTTAATGTCCAGCGATTTACTTTCAGCTTTTATATCAAGACTGTGAATGATATTAAGCAGCCTCTCTTTCTGCTGCCTATATATACCACTATTGTTCTTGGCCCAACCCCTCAAAATCTGTCGCAGATGTCTAATCTTGTATTGGCATCTTTCGACATTCAAATCACCCCTTTCTTCTGAGTTCCATTCCCTTGCTATCAATTCAAGGAACCCTCTCTCTCAAACCACGCAGTTTCGAAAAGATCAACGAAGGTGATTTTAGACGAGAGAGAGAGAGAGAGAGGAGGGAGCAATGCATCTTAGGTGCAACAAACGCGTTGCTCATGTATTATGGTACATGAGCGACTTGGCGATCATGCTTAAACTATGTGCACGACTTGGTCAACTCAGCAATTGAATGTCAACACAGTGTTTCCATATTGTCCGGGGGAAACTGAAAGGGAAATGTGAAGTGTGATACGACTTGACTCGGTTGAGGAAAAGAAGGCCGCGCCCGGTAGCTAAGTGTATGTAGTATCGTGTGAAGGAAAAATATTCTACTGGGGGCTTTTAGACTGGAATTCGAGTTGGTGAGAATCATAGGTTAGCACATAGAATGAACAATCAAATAATGTAATCATAGGTTAGCACGTAGAATGAACAATCAAATAATGTTTTGTGGAAGCTTATGCCTTTGTCTCGACATGCTTTCATGTTAATATAGGGGAAAAGCTATGTAGGCCAATACAAGGTTGGTGGGATTACATATTTGAGAATCAAGAAAGAGAGAGATCTAACCGAATCTTTATCAATCAGATTGGTGTACATGATCCTAACAAAATATTCGTTACTTCTAGGACATATTACAAGCTTATAATCTTTGTTATAAGGGAGAGAGAGGTTTGGTGAAATAGTTTTTATATTGCTTGAGCCTCGTGGGCATATATATAGGAGTACAATCATCTACTTGGAGAACCGCAAAAAAAAATTTATCTACTTGGAGTACAAGACAAACCAGAACAAATCCTAGTCTATCTCGGTTTTCCTAATAAACATTATACTCAACATCCCCCCGCAGTCACAACGGTAGCGACGCAGACGGTGAGACTGGAGAAGAATAAGAAGGCAAGCCGACGGACACCCCCCCACAGTCTTAACAGTCGACGCATCGCGGAGTCGTGGCTGGAGTGGCAACTGACAAGGTTTCTCAAGCAAGGCGATAGCCCTTTGTGCTGTTTGTCGAGGTAGCCGAGAGCGTGGGTGGTGGAGCCGTGGTCGAGGTAGCCGTGCGAAGAATGCCATGGTCGATGTCGAGTCGGGGTAGCCGGTGTCGAAGAAGTCGCCGTGGAGCCGTGGGCGCAAGGGGGCGCCGAGTTAGTCATGGGCGCAGTGGTGTCAAAGTAGGGTGCGCCGGGAAGAAGATGTTGTTGACGATGCGTCACGGCGGGTTTGCCAAGACCGGGGACACATCGTGGATGAAGGCACGCACCGGTGTTGCCAACACCGAGCATGCGTAGACGGACGAAAACAAAGTTGACGAAGCGCCGACCAGGCTTGCCAGGCCCAGGGACACGTCGTGGATGAAGGCACGCATCGGTTTTGCCAGCACCGGGCATGCGTAGACGAGGGACCTGCACGAGCTGTATGCCATGTCGGAGAAGTCGGAGGGGCCAGCAGAGAAGAACTCGACGACGATTGCGGCGTCCATCGGCGCGGGGCCAACGTCACGAACGGTGATCGGAGTAGACGAAGTGGTCGGGGTAGATGACGGCGACGCTGGCGATGGGCTGGTGCTTGGGCGAAGACGAAGGGGGTGGACGGGAGGCGGCGGCGGCCAAAGAAGAGCGGCGGCGGCGGCTAGGTTAGGAGTGCGGCGGCGGTGCTCGAAGTAGGCGAAGAACCTTGACAGCATGATGAAGACCGGCGCGGACGGTGGCGTTCCCGCGCCAAGGGAGGCGGCGCGACGCATACCACGGGAAGTCGACGCGCAGCGACGGCGGTGGACCGTGGGCCGCGGCGCTACGGCCCGAAGGGGCGACGCAGCGGCGGCGGGCAGGTCAAGGCAACGACGGAAGACCTCGGGGCAGCAGCAGGGACCGCGGGTCGCGACTCGACAGCCCGAAGGGGCGGTGCGGCGGAGAAGCGCGGGTCGGTGCAATCGCGGGGACGGCCTCGAGACGGCGGCGTGGACCGCATGCCACGCTCGCTACGGCCCGACGGGGCGATGTAGCGGCGGCGCGAGGGTCGGTGCTGCCACGGGGACGACCTAGAGCGGACGGCCTCGGGGCGGCGGTGGACCGCGGGCCGCTACACTACGGCCCGAAGGGCGACGCAGCGGTGACGCGGGTCGGTGCAGCCGGGAGAAGAACCACGGGACGGTGGCGCTGCGGCCCGACGGGGCGACGCAGCGGCAGCCCGTTGCTCGATCGGTGGAGGGACGCGCTGAACTCGGGGACGATCTTCACGGGACCTGCGGAGGCGCGTGCAACCGACGGGCCAGGTCGGTCCCACGGCGTAGATGAGGCGGATCGCGGCGGCGGGCGGGTGATCAATCCGAGGTCGGGGACGCCGCTCGGTGGAGATGGGGTGGCTGCGGAGTCCGAGATGAAGCCGGCGACGGGGGCGGCAGGGCGGCTATGATTGGCCGCCGCATGGTGCGAGGCCACCGGGTCGGGTCATGCAGGAGTCCCGATCGGAGTAGAGCGGTGACGACCGGCGTAGATCGACGGGCGGGCCGACGCACGAACGGCGGCAGAGAAGGGCCGCCGCATGACGCGAAGCTGCCGGGTCGGAGCGACCAGCGGGCAGACGCGCAGACGACGCGTGAGGCTGCCGGGTCGGGGCGACCGACAGGTAGACGCGCGGACGAGGCACGAGGCCGCCGGGTCGGTGAAGAAGCCGGCCGATCGCGCCGGGGTTGGAGTAGAGGCGAACGGGGTCGACGGCGACGGTGGGCGACACAAACCGATCAAGATTACATCGGAAAACCATAAAGAAACCGACGATCAAGATGACCGGCGGGAGAGAGAAAACCCTGAAGCAAGGGCTCGGGGAAAAGACTCTCTAGGGCAGCCGGTCAACACGACCGGCGGACGAACCCTAAGTACGGGCGGCGGTCATGGAGGCCGACCGCCCCGGGGGCGGCGCGCAGGTGCGGAAGCGGCGGCGGCTAGGGTTTAGGATCGACTTGCGATAGATACCATGTTATAAGGGAGAGAGAGGTTTGGTGAAATAGTTTTTATATTGCTTGAGCCTCGTGGGCATATATATAGGAGTACAATCATCTACTTGGAGTACAAGACAAACCAGAACAAATCCTAGCCTATCTCATTTTTCCTAATAAACATTATACTCAACAATCTTCAACAAAACACATTCTTATACAAGCTACTAAATACTTCCTCACTCTTATTTATTCATACAGTTCAACAGTAGAATGACACGCCAATTCTTAACTTGTAGTTGTCTTACTGGTTATCATGCCCCAAGTAACAACAACAAACACGTACACATTGTCATGTAGCTTGTCAAAGAGGCGGAAATAAGCATTCCTCCATGCTCTTTTGAACAGAAGAGCACAAAAGACAATCCAGAGTCCCGCCACAAAGCCAGCCGTCAGCCCAAAGTAGAAGAATACCACTGGATCATAACCATTTTGTCTTCTCTGCTGATCACCATGCTCTAAAGCATTATTGCCTGGGCAATTCTTTTTAAGAGGAGGCCCACAAAGACCATTATTGCCGCTGTACATGGACGGGTTCTCGGCGTAGAGGGTGTCAAGTTGACGTCCTGTCGGAATTCTTCCTACAAGATTGTTGTATGACAAGTCCAAGGAGCTTAGATACGTCAAATCTGACAAGCTTGTTGGGATTTCACCGGAAAGGTTGTTCCTTGATAAGTCGAGTGATTCTAGTGATTTCATAGCCCCAATGTTCCTAGGAATTTTTCCACTCAGGTGATTCCACGATAAATTCAAAGTATACAATCGATTAAGAGAAGTCATCTCATCTGGAATTCCACCCGTTAAGTGGTTGAGTGAAATGTCAATGCCGAACATGTCGTAAACTGTATATATGCCATACTTCAGATTTTGCCGCTTCATCACCACAGACAAAAGGTCCTTGTTCATGTCCTCTTGAACATACAAGTTAGTCCCACCACGCTGTGGATGTTCTAGTGTCATTGCTATTAATTTTGACAATGACGATGGAATTGCTCCTGAGATATTGTTGCTTGCTAAACTGAAGTACTGAAGTAGTATAAGATTTGTGATGTTGGCTCGAATATCCCCATAAAACATGTTATGGTTTAGCAGCAGAAATTTCAAGTTCAGCAATTCTCCAATCAACGCGGGTAACGTTCCATAGAACTTGTTCACCGCAAGATCAAGGAAAAGCAAATTTGAGCTGTTCTGAATCCAAGATGGAAAATTTCCAGAAAAGCTGTTGTTACTTAAGATCAGAAATTCCATGCTTGGCATCGCAGAACACCATGGAAATTCTCCCTCAAAAAGATTATTGTGTAGATCCAACAAAAGAAGGTTTTTCAATTCACAAATATCCCTAGGAACATGACCAGTAAGGTAATTGGAGAAGAGAATTAGTTGTGTAAGATTTGGAGCTCCAAAATCTAACGGCCAGTCGAGTGAGGTTCTCGGTAACATTGGTATCTGGCCAGTTAGCTGGTTCAAAGTGAGATCGAGGCGACCCAAACTAGTAAGATTCCTTAACCCCGAAGGTATAGCTCCAGTAATGCTGTTGTTAGAATGGCCAGTCCTCTGAGGCTTCTCGGTAACATTGGTATCTGGCCAGTTAGCTCGTTCAAACTGAGATCAAGGCGACCCAAACTAGTAAGAAAGGGAAAGTTTTTCTAAGCTGGTCAGTTAGCTCGTTCAGTTAGATGGTATAGCTCCAGTAATGCTGTTGTTAGAAAGGGAAAGTTCATCTAAGCTGGTCAAGTGCCCAACCATATCTGGCAGCATTCCTGTCATATTGTTGTGGTTCGAATACAAGGTGAGGAATTTGTTGGACGAGCATTGTGGCAGTTTCGTTAAAAACTCTGTTATGTTCCCAAAGGCGAGACTTCCATTAAGATCTAGGAGCTCTAAATCACAGAGATTTTTCAAGTCCACCATCATTGTGGCTGAATTGCCGTTATTTTCAAATGATAGGAATTGGAGGGATGTCATACCTCCTAGGGCGTCAGGGAATGGACCATCGAGATAGGTTTCATCAAGGCCTAAATGTGTGATGCCTGTTATGTTCCAAAACCAACTCGTATCAACTCGTATCTGGCCGAACAACCAGCTGAGACCGATGTCAAGCTCGGTGACATGGCCGGTTTCGTTGCTGCAGGCGACGCCCGTCCAGCGGCAGCAGTCATGGCGCAGTTTTTGCCACGAGGCGAGGACGCCATCCGTGTCGTTGATGCCCTGCTTCAAGGCCAGCAACGCGTCCCTCTCGCGTGGCCAGCAGCTCTTCTGCGCATGTGCATGTGCGACGACGAAGAAGCCGCAGGACACGGCTGCAGTGGCGAGGAGCAAGGCGAGCTTGGCAATGGCGATTGAGTGGTGCATGGCGGAAGTATTTTCGCGGAAGCTTGAATGGACTTTTCCCAAGTTGAGATTAAATGGCATCACGTCTCTCTTTGTGAGATGCTCATTGTGTGGAGGCCGTCAGCTGTCACGTTTCTTAAGTAATGTGGGCAACTACCGTATATATGTATTCTTACATTTTATGTCAACATCTCAGAGCATTAAGTTGTTAATCTTATTAAAAAATCTGTCAAGTATACTGATATTTAACCCAGCTTTGAACAACCAGTGTACAAGTAAACAACTACTCCCTCCATCTAGGTGTATAAGTCATCTTACGAAAACCAAATAATCCCAAAACACTTAGGCGCGGTGCATTAACTTCTACCTCGTTTCTTATTTTTTGACATATCAACCAATAAGAGACAAGGGTGTGCATGCTTTTAATGACTTGAGACTATCAAACACGACATGCAATGGTTAGTTTATTGCATGCAATACTATTAATTAGTAAATAAACATTAGTGTCTCTCGTTTTCCCCTCCTTCTTGGTCACGGTGCACAGCCTAAGATGATTTACTCACCTAGATGGAGGGAGTATTGAGGATGGTTTGTTGAAAGATCAGCTTTAACGGCTTAACTATTGAGGACCCACAGTGGTGTTGCAAGTTTGAATAACATGGCCACTCACTTCATCAATAACAATAACAACAACAGGTACTAATAATTGAAAGAGGGAGTGGTCCCAACATGACAATGCATGCCGCTTGCAAGTCTTCCTCTCTTGAGTCTTCCCTTCACGCGGAAGTCCAGTGCTGCTGCTACGGCGCAGGAAGTTTCACGGAAGCCCGGGGTTCCTTCTTATGACCTTTGTGGCCTATTGTACCGGAATTTCTTTTAAGCAATATATGTTTTCCAATTACTTTGCTCGCTCCCTGAGGAACGGTCCCTGTGTGGCCTGTTTGTATTTATATAAGTACACTATATGTTGAAGAGCAACTTGTGTGTTAGAGCATCTCCAACAGCCGCGCTATAGCGCCGCGCGCAAAAAAACCGTTAACGCGCGCGCTGCGGCTTGTTTTGCGCGCCCGCCTGCGCTGGCTCCAGCAACGGCGCTATAATGCAGCGCGCGCGCCGCTCCAGCAGGGTGCAAAAATACAGCGCGCGCGCCGCACAAACCACATGTGCATTTCAAAGAAGATGAGCAAAAATGATCAAACAAACAAAATAAAAATCAATAACAAATAGTTCAAAATAAATCATTACAACACAAACAAATAGTTTATCGTTCAGTACAACAACAAATAGTTCAAAATAAATTGTTGCAACACAACAAATAGTTCATGAACAATACAATGTCGAGTGCAGATATCATCATGCTCTTTGCCGTCCATGCCATGCCCACCACTCTTTAATTAGATCATTCTGAAGTTCATTGTGCGTTGCGGGACGCCGAATGGCATGATAGGAGGCAACAAAACGGGCTACCCTTTCAGCCCTCCGCCGCACTCGCACGGGATGTCCCAAGAGCTCATACTATGAGTAGTCTAAATCTTAGCCACGCTCATTCTCGATGATCATGTTGTGCATGATCACAGAAGCGTGCATGATGTACCAAAGTATTTGTTGATCCCAAAATCTTGCCGGTCCTCTCACAATAGCAAATTGGGCTTGCAAAATCCCAAATGCTCTCTCCACATCTTTTCTAGCCGCCGCCTGAGCATTGTGGAAATCAAGATTTTTCTTACCTTCCGGTTTTTTCAACGGCTTCACGAAGGTTTGCCACTTTGGATAGATGCCATCCGCTAGATAATAGCCATAGTTGTACGTACGGCCATTTGCTACAAACTGCACAGGTGGCAACTCACCGTTTGCAATCTTATTCATCAGTGGTGACCGGTTGAGAACATTGATATCATTCAAAGATCCAGACATTCCTAAGAATGCATGCCAAATCCAAGTCTCCTGATCGGCCACCGCTTCAAGGATTATAGGGGAACCCTTTTTTTGGCCGTGGAATTGCCCATGCCATGCCTTTGGACAATTCTTCCAACTCCAATGCATGCTATCTATTGAGCCAAGCATGCCAGGAAAGCCGCGCGCTTTGTTCATCGCCAATAGCCTTGCGGCATCTTCAGCAGTGGGAGCTCTCAAATACTCCTCGCCAAACACTTGCACAATTCCCACTGCAAAGCGCTTGACACACATGATGGCTTGGCTCTCACCCATAGCCAAATGATCATCAACTAGATCAGCCGGGATACCGTATGCCAACATACGCAAAGCGGTTGTCACCTTCAGAAAAGTGCTATGCCCGAGCTCTCCGGCGGCATTCCTCCTTTGCTGGAAAAACCGGTCATGGCTCGCTAGTTTCTCTGCAATGCGCCTGAACAACTCGGTGCTCATCCTAAACCGGCAACGAAAATACGACTCCGGGTATGTGGGATTCTCCATGAAATAGTTCTTCATCAATCTGTTATGGGCATCAATCCTATCTCTCCAAATTTTCTCCCGACCCATAACCGAACCACCGTGCTTCGGTTTTTTATTGATATGCATAGCTACGATCATTGCAAGATCCTCCTCCTCTTCCATATCAAATTCTTCTTCGCAAGAATCATACGACGAACTCATCTACAATGTTCAATACTATACTATAAAAACTACAATTCAAAACATGCACCAAATTCATGAAGTTTGAGCAATACATACCTTGTAGGCGTTTTGTCAAACACCTTGCGGGCGCGGCGCGGCAGCGAGCGCTGTTCCTCGGACGACGGAGGCGCGCGGGCGCCGGCGGTACTAGGAGGGGATGGGCGGAAGCGCGGGCGCGCGGGGATAGGCCGGGGAAGCCTGAGACGGTCGCCGGGGTGCGCGGGCGGCGGCGGCGGCGCGGCCGGTCGGGGGTGGAAGCGCGAGAGAAAGAGCGGGCGCGAGCGCTCCAGTGTGCCGCGCGCTGTAGTGGGCGCCCGAAATACACCGCGCGGGTAAGTGCTTTTGCCCGTGCGTCCAACCCGTTTTAGCGCGCGCGCCGTTTTTGCGCGCCCGCTGGAGCGCCCTGACGCGTTGCGCGCGCGCTAAAAACGCCTATTTTACGGCGCGGCGCTAGTTTAGCGCGACTGTTGGAGATGCTCTTAGTTGGCTAAAAAATATATGCCGCTTATGCCTAACACATGAATGAGACAATTGTAGCATCAACTTGGTGTGCAATAATTGAGATACTTGTTTGTTACATTTTTTATTAGAAAAAGGAGGATTACCCGAGCCTCCGCGCATCTGGGCGATGCATGTAGCCATTTTTATTCACAAGGACCTTACAAAGCAGTACATCAGGTAGTCTGAAGCCACCATCCTAGCAATATTTGTCGCTACTCCTATCCACTTGATGAAGGGGCGCCGATAGTCCGAGCCTAATACCAACCACACGTTGCAAAAATGCATAACATCTAAAGCCACATGCCCCAACCAAGCCACATACTGCGTCTGGGGCACAAACCGGTCCGACACACTCTCATGTGTCATCGCCGCCATCTTTCACCAATCCATATTCAGAGCAGAAACTAACTCACTGACCTTGCCACGCCTCTCTGCCATCGACATCACCATGACGCCAGGCAGTGTCCTCCTTCTATGCGAGTCCATCTCCGCGCATCGGACGCTGAGTCTCCACTGCGCCACGCCGCTGAGATCCACCGCCATCAATGTGTAAGATGAAGCACCGCTCCACCAAAGAAGCCGTACTCTGGTACATCAAGCCCCTAGAATGACACTCCCAAATGGGAAACCACACCAGAGCGCCGCCGTCATCAGATCTACTGATCTATGGTAAGAGTGGCCTTGATCTTGTCCACAACAATGGCTTCAAGAAGGGAACGACGCAGACAACGCCGCCACTGTCGGCCTTGGTAGTAGCCGATAGCAAGTTTTCACCCAGATCTGTTTGAAGA